GGATGTCATGCAGTCGTAAAGCGCTCCACAATCAATAGGCCTGAAATTAAACCAAAAAATGAATTTCCGCGGTGTCGGCCAAATGCACTCCTGAGCAGGAATTACCTTGCAGGAGAATGGCTGATTACCCCACTGAGGAGACAGCGACAGAAGCACAGGTGGAGGGATAGTGTCTGAAGGAGGCTATCACCAATGGAAGCACTGCAGGACTGAGAACTTGTGGTTGAGCAGTTGTTAGTCTGTTGTCAGTTTTACAACTTTCTTACAGTTACATACCAGAAAACATATGGCACATATGTTGAAACTTTGTATTGTGCATTCAGTGAAATTATGCAATGGTCAGTTTTAACAGCTGCAGTTGTTTTGGAGAGTAACAAGCAAAATATGAAACCTGGAGCTCTCTGTGTTTTAGGGTTATGCACCAACTTTCACTGTGCTATCTACCAGCTACTGCTATTTATCCGCAGCATGTGACATATACTGTAGCTAGCGACAGAAGGCATGTAATGTTTTCAATACACCACCTGTAACTCCCTGAAACCATCCTGTCTTCTAGTATCTTTCCTCTTCTGCACATTCCCCTACCGGAGATGGATGCATCCTTTAGTTTCTCAATTGTTTCCCTTGTCCCTCATTTAGAATCGATTTGCTATTAATGCCAGAGCATCACACAGGGAGAGGGTGACAGGGACCGAGGTGGCTGCAGCTGCTTGACAGGCTTCTTCATCTCCAAACAGGAAGCTTGCTTTACATCAGCCATGGGGCGGGAACTGTCATCAGGGGACCTGAGGGGTAATGGGTTGGATTTATACTCTCCTCTCCTCTCCTCCTCTCCATGTGGACCAAGTTGCAAGAAGCTGGATACACTTATCTGAGAGTATTTTCAATGTTCCTTTTGAGTATTAAGATTAAGGTGTGGAGACAGGTGGCAGATTTGAGATCTATGCTGCAGAGGAATTTAAAAAGTATGACTTGCTATTTTGACAAGCTATGAAATATGAGCTTAAATTCAAGCATGGTTATGACTTTAATGCATTTATATAACATGGTCAAGTACTTTGCTTAGAGCAATTTCTTTCCTTTCCCCTGACTTGACATGTCAAGACAAATTTCACTCACCACTCTCCCAAGGAGTCTGGTACTGGGAAATAACCACAGTTTGGTTTTCAGATCAATTTGACAAATCCTCTAAGAGCTATAAAATAGTCTTTGAGCAAATACTTGCCTGACACTCTGCATTAGGAGACAAAAATCTGACACAAGACTGACAACTAACCATGTGGCTTCTGGGTTTACAAAGAAACTTTACACTCTGTCACTTATAACATTGTGCCGAGATGTCAATAAAGGTTAGTATTTTGAACACATGGAGGACAGTGATTCCTGGAGGCAAAATGCATTAGACCTCAATGCAGTCACAGGAATTGTGTCAGCCTTCAGCTCTGACCCAGCTTCAAGTAAAAGTGATGAAAACATCATGTGACACCGTGCCCTGGTTTCACAGTTATACTCGGAGGAAAAAGTGAAAAGTTAATTCTAGTAAGTGATTCCTTCAGAGTAGACAGACTGAAATCCACCACTTTAAATTCAACAATATGCATATAACTGATATCCAGCACTTATCCTTTTTGTTTTATGATGACTTTGCCCATCAACTGTTTGATTCTTTTACTGGAGCTCTGTTTCTGTTTCTTCCTCTCGCGCTGTCCCTCGCCCATCCTCATGAGCATCGCACGGACTGAACTCATTCTCAACTATTTATTAGCTTTATTTCCTGAGATCAGCTGTAAAAATCACATATTCATACGTTAAATTAAAAAGTGATTGATAGCAAAGCACAGCAGAGAGTGTACAAAATCTCATGATGGAATAAATAAATAAATATATCAGTTTGGAACTGCAAAAGATGAAGAGAAAACAAATATTGTTTTTAAATTCTCCACAGATTTGTGAAACCTTTCAACTTCAGGAGATGAGTTGTTGTTCAGGGAAAGGAAAAACTGACACTTGGTAAATTTGTAGCCACATAAGCAAATAATGATCAGTATCTAAACTCAAATGTAAAAGGGTACCATGGCTCAGGGTCAAAAAAGCAGCTTGACTTTAAAGGAGCTGGTCATCTACTAGCCTCTCTCCTCTGTGAGGTGAACTGAGTGTGGAGAAACAGGTTCACTCAGAAAGTGACACTTAATGGGATATATACAGATTGTGTCATGCATTACAGGGCTCAGTGGTTATGGAAGCATTTCAGAGGAGAGAGAGGCAGAGAAATATGGCAGCATCCATCAAAGGCTCAGCCAGAGTGGAAAAGGTGCAGGAACAGGGAGGGAATGAGGGCTAAGGGTTGGGGGGCTGCCAAGGACATTTAAGAGAGCTGTCAGGTGAGGCTGATCTATGAAGGACCCTGCTGGCTAAACCTATATCCTAGTATATGAGTAAGTGTGTGTGTATGTGTGTGTGTGTGTGTGTGTAAGTGCAAAGTGCACTCACACCACTTCATGTTGTAACACATTCTTACACCTTAGAGGCTTCATTACAGTAGAGTAGCATCAGTGCACAGGTTCAAAGAGCAGAACTGGAGTTCATCCGCATTGAAAATCAAATGTTTTCATTCCGTTCATGGAATGAAACTAACAAACAAACAAACAAAAACTGCTACAAGGGCTTAATTGTTCAACTTCGAAAAGCGATATAATAGGAATGATATGTCATAAAAAGGCTTTAAGTGCTTACATGCTGAGAACTGAAAGGGAGACTGTGTGTTTCGGCCGTTCTCCTGGAGCTGGAGTCACCAGGTAAACCAGACACATCTACAGATGGTGTGATCAGTTTTTGACGCATTTATGTAAGTTACTCCAGGCATAAATCAATATTTTTGCTATTCTATTTTGATCGGTGTACTTTCCATTCTCACAGCCATCTGTGTCAGCTTGACATCCTTGGTACTTTCTGTCAGCGCTAATCTCACATTTCACATGCACTGTCACTGCCCTAACATTACACATACAGATCAGGTCAAAGATGGATTACTCACTGTATTACACTAGCCTCTACAGCACTGCAGTTACCACGTTCTGGTTCTAACAGCTTCACAAAAACATTGCTCCAGGAAGTGGAGCCTCCCACAGTGAAATCTGAGGTAGCTCAGTGGCAGCAGCAGCAGAGCAGCAGTGGGAAACTACCAGCAGGCAAGGGGGGGAGATGGGGGGGAGATACAGCACTGGGACCATTACTAAAGCTTAATGATATGAGAAGTGTTCTCCTGTCCAACGCAACGCGGGTTCATCATGGCGCTGTAGCACTATACATCTTTCAGCAGCCCTTTAAGAGGAAAGGGGACATTTCCTCATGCTGTAGTAAGAACTCCTACTCACTACAAGCACTATTTTAAGATCAGTGCTGCAGGGGTTGCAACCTTGTTGATGCGTGAGGGTGAGGTAAAGTGGAGAGCTGGATGAGTGTGTGTAGCTGGTGGAGACGGTCACAAACCACAACATCTTGTCTGGGATTTGTTCCAGAGTACCCCAGGGGAAGGAATACAATTCACTTGCTGCCTCAAAGTCACACTATACACTGCCACTGGCTTCAGATCAGTGCTGATAGATGTCTCTTTGCCTCCTCATAAATAAAAACACATTGGTCTCTGCTGTAAGAGACTGTACAGTATATCAGGGAGTAAATAGCTGAAGGTATCATGTGCTGCAATAAGTCAAGCCTGGAGGAGTTTTTCTTTCTCTAATGCTTCACATTTTGTGACTGTGTCAGAGAACTCTGCAACCTGTAAATCAAATGGGGCAGAATGCAATACAAGAGCAAGTCGAGTAAGTAAATGCAGTGTTGACTTTAAGTCTTTAACTTAATTTTATAGCCTTGAATCACTATGCACTAGGGAAAGGCTTAACATTTCTGTCCTAGTGTTTGCACAGTTTGAGTCACAGCCGCCTGCCTGTGGATTTACACCAGTAGATCACAGTCAACAACAGTAAAGACAGAAGTGCACTGCTTTATGACTTCAGCACTTTCACTTTGTTGTCTTCCAGCACCGGTGAGTTTAAATTATGGTGGGGGACGTCCTTGAGATGTGAACATCTCATTTCACCAGACTGCTCACAACCACACCTAATTTCATTGGGGGTCTCTGGGAGGCTGGACTCAGTGGAGCATGACATAAGAATTATGCATCTAACAGCAGTAAACCTGCAAACACCACTCTGTCTGACTCACACACACACTTGAGATTGCTCTAAGACATAACTAACGTTTTGCTCATCACTTTGAGAAAGAATTATTTATTATTTTTCAGGGTCTGCTACTGTTGCTTGTATTTCTGCTCAAACACCTACAGCTGAAACAGCTCTAGGTCTTTTTAGATAACACAAAAGAAGCAGTTAGCCTAATCATTGTTTTATTTGTAAGTGTTCTTTTAACCACTTTAATTATAACCTATAAAACTGAAGACTTGACAATCTGTGAATGAAAATAAACATTTTGTGACCATGAAATGACAGTTACTGGAAATGTAGTTCTATTACTGTGAGGTTAATAGAAACCACTGCTTTCTAGGGATGCAGAAATAAGCTGTTCTTGATCTCCCTGACAACTGTGCTCTGGTGGTTTTCACACAAGCCATGCATTATTCCTTATCTTGCAAAAACTTTGATCTAAAAACGGCAGGACTGATGTACTTTCTTGAATTTAATGTTTAACCAATTATCAACCATAAGTAATACAACTAAAAACTAAATCCATATATACAAAATTTCAAGAAAAAAAGAGTTAGAGCATCCCAGATGAAGCAAGGAAACTCCGCATCCTGCTCCAGCTGCGCCCCACTGCTGTCGCATCACAGTGGGGACACCTGGGGACACGCCCACCCACTGGTTCCCTGCACCGTTATTGGCTGCCACTTTAAATATTCCGCAAGCTGTCCGGTGATTGGCTCAGATCACACACAAGCCATTTCATAAAGCAAATCTTTTGGAAGTTGTGTAAAGGGAATAAGTAGGGAAAACCCTAGAGATAAGCGCGACATCCATAGAACAATTAGCTGGCTGTACCCGCCTGTCTTTCTCTCTCTCCTTGCTGTCAGTCGCTGGAGCATTTGTCGGAGTTTCCGAGGATCTCTCCATCTGTGAGTACCCGAGTTTGCTTGCTGCTGATGCTGCTGCTGCTGCTGCTGGCTTCCTCTGGGTTTCAGGATAATTGCAGCGCTGCGCTGGGATCTGCTGCAGAAAGAGCCGAGAGGAAGTTGAAGGCAACTTTCTTCTCAGAGCAATTGTTAAGTCCCGAATGAGACGCTTGCTTTTCAGATTTACAGTCAGATAGCTCGCAATAGGCTGCATAAGAAACGATGGCCTCGTTTTTCTTTTGTTAATTTTATTTTTCAGCAGTTATTCGTGTTTTAATAAGAGCTTTGGCATGGATGCACATTTTATAGTCATTTCTTCCACAGGTTCTTACTTTAAATGAGGTGTTTGGTTTTTATATAGGACCTAGCAGTTTATCCTATTTCATGTTCTACAAATATAGTAAAGTATCAATCGATCGTTATATTAATAAACTATTATGCATTATGAATTTATAGGTTATTCAGCTTCATGCATCATATGGGTGGTAAATTCAGGAGGGTAACTTTCTACAGAAACTCCCACAGCTATCAGAAATGTTTTCATTACTAAATGTTCATTCCACTTAAAATGGTCCTTGATATTTTCAGTGTTCTGTTACAGTAAAAAGCATATGAGGAGTTAGGTGAGTGGCTGCAGTGTGTCTTTGCTGGAATGAGGTGTGTTATTGTTTGATATGTGATAAGTGTCAGAGGAATTAGAGCTTAACACAACTGCTCAGAGTAACTGGTAAGTGTAATTCACTGGGAGTGGTACAGCACGCGTGTGTGTGTGTGTGTGTGTGTGTTCTGCTTTGAGGCCGTCCTTCACAGGGAAGAGCTCATGGAACCTGTGTTCATAACTGAGGCCGGCTCTTTGTCGCAGTGTTATCAGGATCAGAGCTGGGCTTGAACGCTCCAGAAAGCTCATGCTGATGTTGCACGCTGTGGTAATGGCCTTTTAATGCCAAAATAAATAACCACATCGAAACATTTCTCTGCTTCATAAAACATTTGTTTCTATTTCAAGGTCTTTGGCTGGTTTACTGTAACTTGATGCTAGAGGGACATGTTGTTGTTGACCCTGCAGATGTCACAGTCTAAAATGCCAGAGAATGCATCAAATGCTTTGTGCTTGTAGAAAAGTCACATTGCAACTTAGTTGATGACTCAAGTGAGGTGTCTCAGATTTTACTGGAGTGAATGTGGAGCAAAGTCACTGCACACACTTCACTGAATGTGCTCAGTGCTCAGTGCTCAGTGGTACAGCACGTTGTTTCACCTAGCTGGCCACTGATGGCTTTAAGTACTCATCTGTCATTTTTCTAACTCACTTTTCTCTGTGGTTACTATTTTTTATGGCTGAGTTAGTGGGGATATTTTTCTTTTTCTCTGTTTTCAGATTGGCACTGAGCTAAAATATACTTTCATGGTGCCCTATTTTGCATTTTACTCTCATTTGCATGAAAATTTCAACTTGAGTTGTGAGTTTGTAGCAGCTGCATTGTCTTGTCCTCCAGTTGTCTATTTTAAAAGGATTCTACAGGTGTATCTTCACCCGTCACACTTTTTTTTTTATTTCGACTTTCTTTTTCATCCTTTTTTTAATTTATAGCTTCTATCTAACATGGAGCACATGAGCAAGTCTGTAAAGCTACCTTCTGCAGTCTGGAACTGCTCGGCTCATTTGTCATTACATCCAGCTCAAACAGTGAGAAACTACCTCACCTTGAGCTCCCAGGTTTTGTTAATTAACCCTTCTTGCTAACTGCCACAGTCTACACCGCTGCAAGCGCTCCAGCCAGTCTTATCGCCCAGCTGCCTGCCAGGAGAACTAGCATTAGACCTGGCCATATTTCTGCAGGTGTCAGCGGAGGCGCTTCCTCTTCCTACCGTGCCTTTGAGAGCAATACTCAAACAGCAATGTAGTTTTATCTTAAATCAGATTGTTGAAGGAAATGTTAAAGAACCATATATCATCTGGACGTTTGGAGCAGAAAGAGAGAATCTGCAGCAACAGTGGAGATGGGAACAGCTAATGAGTTTTATGACGGAGGCTGCATTCATAAATCTGCAGGGAGAGAAAATCAACTTGTCAGCTTGTAAATAGCATTTAGTGTGAACTTGTGTGTGTAAAGTTTTGTGGTACTGTTCATGATGGGTGCTTTGTTTTAGGCTTAAGGAGGTGACCTTCTTCTTTCCCTTCTCCCCTCTGCCATGTTTCTCTTCTTTCTTTTCAGTCCAAGCATCAGAAACCCCACCTCTACCTGCTTCTCAACTGGATGGGATAATTCCCTCTATGTTCACCTACTGACCACTAAAATGACACTTAACACAAACCTTTTATTATAAAAAAAACTTTTTCCCAACTTAGAGTTGGTCACTCTCCTCAAGAAAGCAGCACCTCAGGTCTGTTATATCAAGGGATGTTGGTTTCCTCTGAGCTCTCACAGCCTCTGTCTGATGTCCTGCGTCATGTATGGATTTTCTGTCTACATATGATGGGTTGTTGAGCTCCAACCTTGCAGATTCCTGCTTATTGTGATAACATATTTTCCCTTCAGGTGAGGATGTTGTGGCTGGTTTTGTTCCTGCCTTCCCTCTGTTCGTCTCAGCGATCAGAGCCCATGTTCTCAGCTATAACCAAGACAGTCCTTCCTCCAGACTATGACAACAACCCCACCCAGCTCAACTACGGTGTGGCCATCACTGATGTGGACGGGGATGGAGACCTAGAGATGTTTGTAGCTGGGTGAGGAACAGGGTGGTAAGGGGCTGGGGGTGGTGTGTGCGTTGGAGGGGGGTAGCTGTTGTAAAAATCTCCAAGTTAAATTTATTCTAGATTCAGAAGTAGCCCCTAAATGTCCCCTTGCTCTTTGCACCTTGTTATAACCATTCAATAAATTTTTTATTATAGACATTTAGAGCCATAAATTAACTTCTGAGTGATATTTAATTCGTAATCAGATGCTAAAATAAAAGTGCACTGTCATTTTCCAAACTAAAGGTTGAAGACAAAAATAAAAGACTACCAAACGAGAGATAGTAAGGCTGCCCTGAGGCTCACTCAGCTGATGAAAATGGATGTGATTGGATGGCGAGCCATTGATGGGAACAGTTTGGCAAGCTTGCCTCTATCCAGTGAAGCAGCAATGAATTTCTCAATACTTAATAGAATATAGATGGACCAAAATGACCCTGCTTAATAAATGTCATTTAGCCAAGACATCCTACTCAGCAAGTATCCTGGACAGGAGGGCATCACAAAACCTCAAAGAGGATTAATTTCATTAGGGATTAGAAGAACCATGGGATGGAGTTTTCATTACAGTAACATTTTTAACCTTCAGCCACTTCTAAAAAATATACAGTGCCTTGCGAAAGTATTCGGCCCCCTTGAACTTTGCGACCTTTTGCCACATTTCAGGCTTCAAACATAAAGATATAAAACTGTAATTTTTTGTGAAGAATCAACAACAAGTGGGACACAATCATGAAGTGGAACGAAATTTATTGGATATGTCAAACTTTTTTAACAAATAAAAAACTGAAAAACTGGGCGTGCAAAATTATTCAGCCCCCTTAAGTTAATACTTTGTAGCGCCACCTTTTGCTGCGATTACAGCTGTAAGTCGCTTGGGGTATGTCTCTATCAGTTTTGCACATCGAGAGACGGAAATTTTTGCCCATTCCTCCTTGCAAAACAGCTCAAGCTCAGTGAGGTTGGATGGAGAGCATTTGTGAACAGCAGTTTTCAGTTCTTTCCACAGATTCTCGACTGGATTCAGGTCTGGACTTTGACTTGGCCATTCTAACACCTGGATATGTTTATTTGTGAACCATTCCATTGTAGATTTTGCTTTATGTTTTGGATCATTGTCTTGTTGGAAGACAAATCTCCGTCCCAGTCTCAGGTCTTTTGCAGACTCCATCAGGTTTCCTTCCAGAATGGTCCTGTATTTGGCTCCATCCATCTTCCCATCAATTCTAACCATCTTCCCTGTCCCTGCTGAAGAAAAGCAGGCCCAAACCACGATGCTGCCACCACCATGTTTGACAGTGGGGATGGTGTGTTCAGGGTGATGAGCTGTGTTGCTTTTACGCCAAACATAACGTTTTGCATTGTTGCCAAAAAGTTCGATTTTGGTTTCATCTGACCAGAGCACCTTCTTCCACATGTTTGGTGTGTCTCCCAGGTGGCTTGTGGCAAACTTTAAACGACACTTTTTATGGATATCTTTAAGAAATGGCTTTCTTCTTGCCACTCTTCCATAAAGGCCAGATTTGTGCAGTATACGACTGATTGTTGTCCTATGGACAGAGTCTCCCACCTCAGCTGTAGATCTCTGCAGTTCATCCAGAGTGATCATGGGCCTCTTGGCTGCATCTCTGATCAGTCTTCTCCTTGTATGAGCTGAAAGTTTAGAGGGACGGCCAGGTCTTGGTAGATTTGCAGTGGTCTGATACTCCTTCCATTTCAATATTATCGCTTGCACAGTGCTCCTTGGGATGTTTAAAGCTTGGGAAATCTTTTTGTATCCAAATCCGGCTTTAAACTTCTCCACAACAGTATCTCGGACCTGCCTGGTGTGTTCCTTGTTCTTCATGATGCTCTCTGCGCTTTAAACAGACCTCTGAGACTATCACAGTGCAGGTGCATTTATACGGAGACTTGATTACACACAGGTGGATTCTATTTATCATCATTAGTCATTTAGGTCAACATTGGATCATTCAGAGATCCTCACTGAACTTCTGGAGAGAGTTTGCTGCACTGAAAGTAAAGGGGCTGAATAATTTTGCTTACTATGGTGGTAAAAGTCACATGAGGTCGCTGTAAGAATATTTTCATTTGCCAGTTAACGGTCAGAACAGAGAAGTGTTTAAAATGTTGATAGATCAGATTGTTGTCCTTTCTGTGGCCTCTTTTCTGTGTCTCTCACAGGGCAGAATTTCAAAAGCTTTTGTGACCTCGGAATCTAAACATTTAGTCAAAATTTGACTTTGACAGCAAGCTCTTGTTTCACTCTCCAGTTTAGCAGCAACAGGATGAATGTTAATAGGTACCCCGAAGAAAGTGTATAATCAGTAGCCAACTCAAGGTTATGGCAATGCCAAATATAAAAAAACTGATTATAAAAATGTTAATTGGTCATTTTAAAGGCCCTGAAAAGCCATTATTCTAGCCTGCTTCTTAATGTGAAATATGTGGCCCTCCAAGAATGGCTTTGTTAAAGTTGAAACAGTTTGGTTTATTTTAATTAAAAGATTTTCTGTATTTGTGTGTTTTGTCTGTGTTCCTCTCATTGGTTTTTGTCTCATTTAAAAGGTAATGTCATGTAAGTCTGAGCAGCAATCAGAATTGATCAACATTTGACTCAAAGTCTGATGACGGTTACATGTATGTTGCCAGGCTGCTGTCAATCATATGCGACTGAACAGCTCTCACACAATGCTGATGTAGCACATTAGCAGTTAAAAAGTTTATACAAGGCACAAAATTCAGGCAGTAGAACCATATATATTTTTTTTATTCCACATATTCTTTTGTCAAAACCTGGTGCCTAGCTTACCCCTCTAGAGGCTGTTCATCAGACTTTCACAAAATACTTTAACAACTTGTTTCCATATGAAATGATACTCCCCAAGACCTCAAAACAGATATGAATATTTGAAACTAACTGCACAGCAGGATCTTGAGTAGGTTTATCTACAAATAAAGCAACATAATCACTGTTTTCAGGATTTTTAGGCAGCATCATTAAGCAGCTGTAGAACCTACTGTGAATGGCACTGTATGATT